TTGGACATCTTGATCATTAAGCCCCAAAACACTATTTTCTCACACAAAGGTCCTTAACTTAATGCTAAAATATCACAAAATTTTGGGGTATTACACTATTCCTTCAAGAGTGATTTGTAGAGAGGATTGTTTGGGTTTATCTTATAAAGGGGTGAGATTTGAGAGAAACACCCTTATTCTTGTAAAAGGATTGAGTGGCTCCTTTAAGCCACCCTTGTTGTTGTTAGCAGAGAGTGTGGAGGAAATCCTTAGTGAGTGAAGCCAAGGTAGAGGACTAGGCTCTAAGTGGTTGGATCGAACCTCTATAAATCACTGAGCAAGCTCTTCTTCTCTACTCTCTTTAATTTTGGTTTTGTGGTTGCAAAAATGGGAGAATTTTTGGAACTCCAATTCACCCCCCTTCTTGGAGTACATTGAGTCAACAAAAACAAGAAAAATAAATATATTTAATTTTATTTAATGATAATTCTCTTTTATAGCTTTTTTTTTTATTTGTTTCACTTTAAATTTGGACCGAAAACGGTCTGTATATAATTTCTATGGCACGACAATAGGGCAACAAATATTTCAAAATTTACATCTGAGTCCATTTTATACGGATCGCTATAACTTCTATGGCACGACAATAGGGCAGCAAATATTTCAGAATTTACATCTGAGTCCATTTTATACAGACTAATAGTGGTCTGGATATACTTTCGATCGCACGACAATTGGGCAGCATATATTTCAGAATTTACATTTGAGTCCATTTTATACAAACTGAAAATGGTCTGAATATACTTTCGATGGCACGACAATAGTTCAACAAATATTTCAGAATTTACAGTTGAGTCCTTTTTGTACAGACCGAAAACGGTCTGGATATAGTTTCAATGCCACGACAATAGGGCAGTAGATATTTCACAATTTTCATCTGAGTCCTTTTTATACAAACTGAAAACAGTCTGGATAGACTTTCAATGGCATGATAATAGGGTAGCAGATATTTCACAATTTATATCTGAGTCCAATATATTTAGACTGATACCGATCTGAATTTATTTTCTGTAGTTATTTTCCTGATTATTCAGATAATTTATGATCTGAAATTATTAAATTATTTATTATATTCTTTATGTCCAGACTAGTAACGGTCTGTAAATTTCAGTTTAATATCCACCCTTCATTTTTTTACCAAATTATACGATTCAGTTTCGGTGTGAATATGTTAATTTACGGACCATTTTTTTGTCGGTCTGTATATTTTATTTTTTTCATACCAGGTTTTTTCAGTTCAACTATATGGACTGAGATCGGTCTGGATATATTTTTTCAGACCGATTTTTGAGTTATACGGACTGAATTTTTGGTCTGAATATGGCATCCTTACAGTAGTGTAAAATTCAATTAGATACAAAATGTCAAATATTCAAGAGTTTTCATACATTTACTTAAGGTCTAATACTCCATCCTATTCTTCACACCACTTCTCAAAAGATTTAGCTCATGAGCACTTTGTGTGTGTGTGAAAATTCCTCACAAGAAGTTTCAAGTTTAGATCTTCACTCTTTAGCACTTATTATTTTTTTCCTTTTTCTTCTTTTTCTTCTTCTTCTTCTTCTTTTTCTTCTTCTTTTCTTTTTCTTCTTCTTTTCTTTTTTTTGTTGTGTCGAGTTTTCTTAGACTTTCTAAGTTTCCCATATAATGAGTTTTTTGTCAATGACTCCCAAACCAGTTGGCTTTAGGGCATTATGTGAAGAGACACCCTTAAGATCATACTTACTCAGGTAATAAAGGCCACAAAACATTTGACTTCTTTTTTCTTTTTTTTTCTAACCATATAACATGTTCTTCCCAAAGCTATCACTTGTCTTTTGACATGAATACTAATATTTGTGATGAAAGCACCCAGTTACTCAACAAATTATGAACAAAAAGTACTTTATATACTCATATTTCAAGTTACAGTTTGATGCGAAAGCTGACATGGGTTTTATGCCTAACCCCCAGTTACTAAGTAACTAAAAACATCGAAGTAGAAATTAACAAACTCTTTTGTGTGTTGACTTCTTTTTCTTCTTCTTCTTCTTCTTTTTTTATGTGCTTTTTAGATGCTACTAAATCTTTCTTCTAAACTTCTCACTACAAACTTGTGCTCAAGTAAAATAAACTCATGAACTTAAGCTTCATCACAATGGTGCTATTTTTTCAAATTTTGTATCTCTTCTAAAATTCAAAGATTTTAAAAGTTTTTGAATTTTTAACTCAAGAATATTTAATTCCTTGATGCTAATTGAACCAACTCCTAAAAAAAAAATTACCCTAATTTCTAAAAAAAATGTATGTTATACAAATATGAATGCAAACTAATCTAAAAATGGATTCTTAAAAGCTATTCTCTCCCCCAAACTTAAATCAAACATTGTCTTCAATGTAAAATAAAAGTAAAACAAAAGAGAAACTTCCTAGGTTTTACACTCGAAAATTTAAATTTTGAAGTTGAGTTATTTTCAATTGGAGACTTCAAGCATGTGAAATTCCATAATCTCATCCCCAAACTTGTTAAATAACCTTGCCAAAAGCAGAGAATAATAATTTCTAAGCGAAAATACTCAATTAATCAAATAAATTCACCTTAAACTTAGATATAAATTTCCCCACATTTATGCATTAACTTAGGCCATAAAGAGATATTTAAAAAAAAAAATCTAAACTATTAAAATTAAAGAAAAAGAAATAAAAGAAAAGAAAAAGTTATGCTTGGGTTGCCTCCCAAGAAGCTAGTCATTAACTAGACTTTTTACCATTCCAAGGTGGTTTTGGATCAAGTCATAGGGCATGTCCTCTCATTTTATTCAATCTTGGCTTTCTTGCCCTTAAATTGAATCCACCATAAGATTTTTTCCAATAACTAGTTTGAGGTAGTTTGGGTTTAGGCCAAGAGATGTGCCTTCCCAATTCTTCTAAGATTGTCCCCTTTGATTCCAAGTAAGATGAGGATGTGTTCAAGTAATTTATGTATTCTTTGATTGGGTCCTTTGCTTGAATAAGATAAATCTCAAATGGATCCTCATAAGTGTATTCCTGCAAAATCTCATCAACCATATCAATAACAAAATAATCATTAAACTAAAATTTGGTCAATGGAGACTCTTCATTGAATACTTTTGATAACACTTGAGCTTTTTCCTCTTCCTCTTTAGGGACATCCTCTTGTTTAGTTTCTACTAATATACTTTCTACTTCTCCAAGTTGTCCTTGAATCTCCAAGGGTAAAGTGTTTACCTCTTCTTGATTTGTCATTGTTGCAATAGGTAATTCATCTTGTATTTCTTTAGCAACTACATTGAGCAAATGACTTGATTGAACTTCCAAATTTTTGTCCAAACATTTCTCATCTTCTTGAGCTTGAAACCTTGATTGTGGCTTCAATATATCTTCATTATTCCATGAGGAGTTTGAGCAATTTAGCCGATCAAAGTTGCATGCGTTGGGATAAGTATTATTCTGCTGGATATAAAAATCACAAGAAAAATCAGCATGATTTTTAGATAGTTTAAAATAACAATCAGAACTAAAATGTTCTAATTCACACCATCAACATCTTTCTTTAACTCGAACTTTTTGATGACTGCTTGAAATAGTTCAAGTTCATCATTATCAAGTTCTACTTGTGCCCTTAACTTGGGAGCAAGACATTGATAACTCATATCAATGTTTTTAACAACTTGATCCATAATTAAACTTGTAAAAACAAAAACAAAGGTAATGAAAAAAAAAAAAGAATCAAAGTAAAGAAATAAAAGAAAAGAAAATATTCAAATTAAATCTAGAATTAATTAGTTTTAATATTAATTAAATTCATCAATCCTCGGCAATGGTGCCAAAAACTTGATGTGCTAAAATCACTCTAAAAAGTCTACTAGTCACTCTAACTAATATAATGATAAGTAAAGTGTCAAACTCACAAGGACTGTGATTAACTAAGTATAAAAAATAATTAATCTAAATTTATTTGAACAATTAAAAAAGAAGAAATTTTAATTAAAAATAATAGTAAAAAAATAATAGTTGAAATAAAACTAATTAAGATATGGGGTGCTAAAGCACTGATTTCATTATAATCAATCAATATGAATTTTTAATTAATATGCTTCCAAAATTAATTTGTTGAGTGTTATTGCATGTGATGACGAATTCTTCTAAATTAACTAACTAACTTTCTCAAATCAAATTAGTCCTTCACTTGTTGGTTAAATTAGTCATATTTCTATGTAATTTAAAACAAATTGGTGAGCACTAAATTCTATGGAAACCTTTAGCTTAAGAAGGGGGAGCCCTTAACTTTTTTCTCTTCCTCCACTACTACAAGTGACACTAATTACCTCTCAGTTTCATAGTCTAATACATAGTTAATATTATTATTAGTTTAATTTACGTAATTCCTTCTCAAGTTCATTCATAAATACTAAATCAATTGAAAGGTATTCAGACTTTCAATGAATTAAATTCAATAATATAAAGTCATCATGAGAATAATTTTAATTGAGAATATAAAAATCCCAAACTTTATATGTCACGCCCCAGAACTCAAATCCAAGGACGTGGCAGACGCCAGGCACTTATGAGAGGGTCCCACAAATGCACAAGGCTCGGAACTTAATCATACCACAATCTAATACCACAAAATCTGAAGATAAAATTTTAAAATTTGTTCTAATATCATAAAATCTTCAAATAAAATCTAGTTTACAAGATCATGATTTATATCTAAATCTATGCTCAATTTACAAGATGGCTAGCCTTCTAACTCGTCACTTCCCTCGTTTTTCCCCGTCCTTGACTTCGCTTTCTGAAATGATGGATAAGGAAAAACTATGAGATAACTCAGTAAGTAAATATGGATAGCCCTTAATTAAACTTATAGCATGCCAACAAGTATAATCACGAAAAACAGATACGGGTACGGAAATGAAATAGACGTCTCCTCTATAGATCATGGTTAGTGTTTTAAACCTCCCACTGGCAGGCACATGATTTACTAGTGTATAATCCCACTAGCAGGATAACAAAAATGAACTGATTCATACAGTAACATGTCAACATGTGCTAGCGTTTATAAACCTCCCACTAGTGGGCACACGAATAACATAACCATATTGGAGACAAAACAGGCAGAATTTAACAAAAAAGCATACTTTACAGATAATTTCCATATCATTAGGGTAGTTAAATAAACTCCAAGCAGGCATGCTCAACTCAATAAAAAAAATAATAATTTCATTTCAAATCGATCATACTTGTATAAAACGGGTTTAGTCCCACTACCACTTCAAAAACAAGCTAAAATGTGCTTTAAAATCGGAGGGCATTACCATAATTTACTTACCATAATTTACTTACCTCAATCGCATAACATAGAAATTCACTCGCATAAATTGAGGACTCAATCCCAGTGCTTTAAGCCATAACAGCCCCTAATATTCCAAATAAATACATTCAGATTTTACTAGAATTATTAGCACAACCTCGCAAATTTACTAACCAATGAGCTTCACACGAAATTCAACCATATGACCAAACGTCTCAATTTCATTCTCAGTATAACTAACATTTAAACCCTCCCATTGTTGGCCATCAGTGCGTGAACAGTATTCATGAACAGTACTCACGTAATGAACAGTACTGTAACTTCCAAAATTAGCAAAACCATAGTTAGTCTCATGGGATTTTTCTCCAAAATCTCACAGCAACTAATTAACTAATTTTCTACATGAATTAAGCTAAATCATGGTCTAAATATTGTCAAATTCATCCCCATTTTTCAACAGATTTTCGGACAGCATAAGGCAGCAATTTAACAAACAAATTTCCAGCAACTAATGGGTAATTTGGGACTTAGATGGAGCTGCCACTTACCAGAATTCCAGCAAGCAAACCGGAGCTGGCAAGGAGAAGAAGCCGGCGGCAATTTCTGCAGGGGACTCACGGAATTAACCCAAAAATGAAGGAACAACAGATTTAAAATGAACCCAAGCTAAATCAAGCTGAAAAGATGAAGTTCATGGCTGTGGCTTACCGGAAAAATGCCCAAAAATCACACACGCACATAGCAGCCGGCGGACAGGGGAGGAAGAGAAACTGCAGATATGAAATTCCTTGCTTTAGAGAGGGTTTCTAAGTCCTAAGCTTGTTATTTAACAAGAAAAGAAAGAAGAAATCACCAAGCTTTACCGGTTTTCTCAAGGGATGGGTGCTGTCGGGCTTGCTTCTTGTTCGGCTGCAGGGGGAAGAAAGAGAAGAGCAGAAACGCGAAATGGCTGGGGAGGAAAGAAGGAAAAATAGCTGATCCTTATCCAAATCTTTCCCCTTTTAAACCCCTTGAATTTAACACAAATTGCCATTAGGTTCACTAATAATATTTCGTCACAAGTTAGTCCCTAACTCACACTTATTTATTCTAGAAATTTTTGGGGTATTACATTATATTTAATTGATTAGGCTGCATCGTAACTTTAGTAAAATAAATTAGTTCATAATAAAAGTAACAAAACTTAAAGTCGTCGTTATGAATATAAGAATATCAAACAATAGATAAAAATAATCCAAGGAAAAACAAAACTCAATTTGAGGAAATTGAAATATTTGATTTTTTATTATTGATGAATCTTTTATCTTGATTTCCAAGAGTGTCTAAAAGACAGCTGCTACTAGCCTTCCAAAAGCTCTCCTTCAATTTGAACTTAGATGTGTCTTTATAAGATTTTAGAAACCTAATTGGAATAGAAGTGGAACCCACATCAAAATAATAAACACAACCACGGACTTGCTAAAATCACGTAAAGGGTCAACTAGGGGTGTTCATATCCGATCCTATTGTACTTATGATTTTGATGATTACAAAACACATTTGAGTGATTAATTGGTTCATTTAAGTGTGTAGTTAAAATGTCAAAAGATTGCAAAGTAAGTAAACTTGGACTGTATTAAAAATGAACCAAAAGGCTTGAAAATGTGCAGAGAGCCAACTGCTAAAACTGGCAGCTGGTTGCTAAAACTGGCAGTCGGCTGTAGAAGAGTAGAGAGCCGGCCTTGGAAGCTGTAGCCGGCTCTACAAGTAAAAACTTAAAAGTCAGTTGTTTGGCGCGTGTGGACAAAAGATGCAAAGCCAACTCCAACTTTGCAGCCGGTTGTGAGGGTGCATTTAATGCACAACGATCGAGTTATTTGGAGATTATTTAATGTGTTTAAAGTTGGAATCCCAAAGCTGATTTAATGATTTGTAGCCGGCTATATAAGAAAACAGAATGTGCAGGAAACCCGTAAAGTCAGCTGTAGAATTTTTAAGCTAGCTTTACGGAGAAAACAGAATGCAAGAAATCTGTAGAGCCAGCTGCAGAAAAGTTAAGTTGACTATATAGAGCTGGCTCTAGAAGTGTAAGCCGGTTGTGTTGACAATTCTGCAACTCGAATTAAGCGACTTGCAAAGCATTAAATGACCTTAATGGCTAGTAACGACTATTTTTTACCATGGGGTTATAAATATGGTTGATAGAAGATTTGAAGCAAGTTTAGAAAGAATTGCATTGAATATCTTTACCTACCAAGTGAGTTATTACATTATAGAGAAACACCCTTCTTCTTGTAAAATGATTGAGTGGCTCCTTTAAGCTACCCTTGATTTTGTTAGTGAAAAGTGTGGAGGAAATCCTTGGTGAGTGAAGCCAAGGTAGAGGACTAAGTTTCAAGTGATTAGACCGAACCTCTATAAAACCATTGTGCAAACTCTTCTTCCCTACTTTCCCTTTGATTTTTGTTTGGTGGTTGTAAAAATGTGAAAATTTTTCAACTCCAATTCACCCTCCCTTTTGGAGTATATTGAGTCAACAAATCCAATCCGATTAATCTGACCTAAACTGATTCAATTCAATTAAAATTTGATCCAAACTAATATAAAATTAGGTTGGTTTGAATTATAAAATTTTAAACCGATATAATTGGTTTGGTTTGGCTTATGATTCTACCTTCAAACCACCCGAATTGCCCGATTACAAAATAAAATCCGATTACAAGATAACTTAATTAAATAATATAATATATTTTTTGTAGTATTTTAAAATTTCTTTTTCTTATTTTACAAGATAATAACTCAATTAACTTAATTAAAAAATAAAAATAAAACATCTTCATATTTCCTAAGTTATTTTTCCATTTTAATTATGTAGTATAACCTTAATTCTAAATTTCTAATTCACCTGCAACTCTATCCCCTCAAAACTAGTTTATGCCTTTACTCTTAGAATCTTAAATTTTTAATTTATTCTTAAAATAATCTTATGATTCTCCTAACTAAGTTTTACATAAGTGTCATTCTAAAAGTCTTAAAACTATAAAATAAAATTAGTCTTAATATTCTACTATTCTTAGATATTTAGTTTAAAAGTTTTAAATTTTGATTATAAATGCTTCTAATCAATTTTAGTGATATTAATGTTAAATTTTATTCATTTTTAACAAGATTTAGAAAATGAGATTAAATTATTAATGCATTAAGAAAAAAAACTAATTTTAATTTTTAAGAATTATTTATGCTATGTTAGAAACTTGAAGTCATCTTTTATTGTTCTTGGTGCTTCTAGTGATGTAACCAATAAGAATTTTCAGATCTTTTCAATTTTTATAAATGTAAAAGAGTATAAGAATTCGTTTATAATTTGTATTTTTTATTATATTTTTACTGATTTGCATGCTAATGTGTTTTATGGTTATGTTTTTTATTTGATATTAAAATATTTTTATATTATCTTATATATTTAATAATGTTAAAAATTAATCAATCTAATTGAACCACACCGATCCGATTTAAATTGGTGGTTTAATTATTATATAATAATAGATTGTATTGGTTTAAAAATTTTATTAACCGATTAAATTAAATCGATTTAAAAACTATTAAAATTTGAACCAAATTACATTGTGAACACCCCTAGGGTCAACACTTTCAACTATGTTCTGACACCTTTTATTAAGTGTCGACTAAAATCTCTGGGTTTTTCACCTTCTAAGTAATTTCTGTTAATGGTAAAATAATAGTCCTAGTCCCTAACTTTTGAATTCCACACAATTTAATCCTTAGCTTTCTATTTTTGCAATTTATCTCAAAAAATTATGATTTCTTTCAATTAAGTCCTTTTCTACACAAAAAATGAAAATTATGCAAAATCAAGTAAAATCTCATAAGACTCATCCAAATATTAATAATATCAAGTAAAAATTCTATATTAATATCTATATAAATTCAACCCATCAAAGACTGTTTTGAATTTTTCCTATTGGTGGAACCTTCCCCTTCCCTTTCCCCTTCACATTCAATTTCTTCCATGTTGTAACTTCTCACCATTAAAGAGTCATTCACGATCTCACTAAAGTCCCTTAATGGGTCCATTAAGGTGCCATTCATGTTGTACCTATGATTTTGATGATTACAAAACATATTTAAGTGACTAATTGGTTCATTTAAGTGTGTAGTTAAAATGTCATGTCACGCCCTAGAACCCAAATGCAAAGACGTGGCAAACGCCGTGCACTCGTGAGAAGGTCCCATAAATGCATAAGGTTCGGAACTTATCCAATTCACATCTGACAATCCAATAACTTAAATCCAAGTAATTGATCTAATGACCGAAATCTGTTTTGATCTCATAAATTTAAGGTAAAATCTATCTTACAAAAGCGTGATTTGTTTCTAAAATCTATATCAATCTCGAAATAGCTAGCCTTCTAACTCGTCACTTCCCTCGTTTTTCCTCGTCCTTGACTTCACTTCCTGAAATGGTGGACAAGGAAAAACTAAGTGAGAGAAAATATCTCATTAAGTAAAATATGGAGTGCCCCTTATTAAACTCATAGCATGCCAACAAGTGTAATCACGAAAAACGGATACAGTACGGGAACAAAATAGACGTCTCCTCTATAGATCACGGCCAGTGTTATAAACCACCCACTGGTAGGTGCACTATTTACTAGTGTATAATCTCCACTAGCAGGGTCACTAATAACATGACCACATCGGAGACAAAACAGGCTGAAGTTAATAGAAAAATCATAATTCACCAATCACTTTCAAATCATCAGGACAATCAATTAAATTTTAAGTAGGCATGCTAATTAATGAAAAGCATAAAAATTTCACTTCAAATCAGTCATACTTACTTTTGCATAAAACGGGTTTAGTCCCGCCACCACTTCAAAAACAAGTCAAAACATGCTTTTAAAAACTGTACGGACATTACCATAGATTTACTTACCTCACTTGCATAAATCAAAGATTTAATCTCAGTGCTAAACTGTCAGAACAATTAGGAACCTAATCAAAATATCCAAGAATTAATTACCGTACCATGACTACCCCCTAATCACGATGCTATTCCTATCAATCTCCACATGATTGGACATCTCCAAATTTGTTCTTATATTACAAACTAAACATTTAAATCTCCTTTAATTGTTGGTCATTAGTGTGTGAACAGTACCCGTGAACAGTACCCGTGAACAGTGACTACACTTCCAACAAAACCATAGCAAATCTCACGGGATTTTCTCTCCAAAAATCATAGCAGTCAATTAACACTCAATCACATAAATCCCACTTGAATTAAGCTAAATCATGGTCTAATTACTATCAAATTTCTCCCCTATTTCCAGCAGATTTTCGGACATCACAAGGCAGCAAACTAAATGGATAATTTTAGGCTTAAAGGGCTGCTACATACCAGAATTTGCAAGCAAGGAACCGGAGCTGCAGATTGGGGAAGCCGGCGGCAGTGCAAGGAAATTTAGGGGGAAATTCGGGAAATCTACCCAAAAATCTAGAGAAACAACAGATTTAACATGAACCCAAGCTAAATCAAGCTGAAAAGATGGAGTTCATGGCTGTGGCTTACCGGAAAAATGCCCAGAAATCACACCCACAAGCTGCAGCTCACGGACAGGGGAAGACAGAGCAGAGCAGATCTAGAATTTCCAGCAGGGGGAGAAGGTTTCTAAGCTCCTAAATCTTGTTCTTAGACAAGAAAAGAAGGATAACATCAAGCCTCCTTACCGGTTTTCCAAGGCATGGCTGGGTTCCCTTTTTTTTTTTTCTTCTTTCGGGTGGGCTGCAATGGGGAGAAGAAGAAGAAGAGCAGAATCGGGCTGAGAAGAAAGAGGAAAAGGAGAAAAAGAATAACTGATCCTTATCCAAATTCTTTCCTCTTTTAAATCCCTCAACTTTTGAAGTTTTAGCTAATAAGCCCCAAAACAATATTTTTCCACAATTTAGTCCTTAACTTAATGCTAAAATATCACAAAATTTTGGGGTATTACATGTCAAAAGATTGCAAAGTAAATTTGGACTGCATTAAAAATGGACCAAAATGCTTGAAAATGTATAGAGAGCCAGCTGTTAAAACTTGCAACTGGTTGTAGAAGTGCATAAAGCCGACTCTGAAAGCTGCAGCCGGCTCTATGGGTAAAAACTTAAAAGTCAGTTGTTTCGCGCACGCGGAGAAAAGATGCAAAGCCAACTCCAACTTTGCAGCCGACTGTGAGGGTGCATTTAATACACAATGGTCGAGTTATTTGAAGATTATTTAATGTGTTTAAAATTAGAATCCCAAAGTCGGCTTTATAAGTGTAAGAAAACAGAATATGCAAGAAACTCGCAAAGCTGGCTGTAGAATTTTTAAGCTGGCTCTACAGAGAAAGCAGAATGCAGGAAACCCGTAGAGCCAGCTACAGAAAAGTTAAGCCGGTTGTATAGAGCAAGCTCTATAAGTGTAAGTCGGTTGTACTGACAATTTTGCAACTCGAATTAAGCGACTTGTAGAGCATTAAATGACCCCCAACGGCTGGTAACGATTATTTTTTACCATAGGGTTATAAATATAGTTGGTAAAAGATCTGAAGCAAGTTTAGAAAGCATTGCATTGAATATCTTTACCTATCTACATGAGCTTTAACTTGAGTTTTTTTATCTTTAAGAGATCTTTACTTGTAATCCTCTTCTTGTCTATTTGTGAGTGATCTTGGGGGTGTGATTAATCCTTCAAGAGTGATCTATAGAGAGAATTCTTGGGGTTTATCTTGTAAAGGGGTAAAATATGAGAGAAACACCCTTTTTCTTGTAAAAGGATTGAGTGGCTCCTTTAAGCCACCATTGATTTTGTTAGTGGAGAGTGTGGAGGAAATCCTTGGTCAGTGAAGCCAAGGTAGAGCACTATATTCCAAGTGGTTGGACCAAACGTCTATAAAATCATTGTGCAAGCTCTTATTTCCTACTCTCTCTTTAATTTTTGTTTGGTGGTTGCAAATAGGTGAAAAATTTGCAACTCCAATTTAGCCCCTTCTTGGAGTACATTGAGTCAACAATTCATTGTCTCATTTATAGTCCAATTCCACGGTTAATATAACCCACACATGTCCCTTAACCTATATATAAGTCTACAAGTTTGTATAATTTGTACATGGAAGACTAGTACATGGTGAAATAAGAAACTCTCTCTTTTATTTGTTATCTTACTACTTTCCCTTTTATTTTATAATAGTAAAAAATTTCTTCACTTTTTAGTCAAAGCTTTAATATATGTAACTCTTATATTACATGTCAAATTATGTCTTATTCTATTAAAAAAATTATCTTTGGGTTTTTTATGAGTTAAGGGTATATGTATAAGTATTACATTTTTTTGATATTAATTAATATTAAAAATAAAAATATTGATATTAATTTTATTATAAATGGCATATAAATTATTTAAATTAAATAAGTAATAAAATAAAGTTTAATTTTTATTTGTTAATATTAATTAATATAAATTTTATAATAACCACATATTTAAAATATACTTTTGAGGATGATTTAATAATTAAGAGTTTAAAATTTTAAATTAAAAGTCTTAAATTCGAACCTTTAGTTGAGATCAGGAATTTTGAAAAAATTCCATTAAGTTCTAAATGAAAATCTTAATTAGAATTTTAGAAGGTCTAATAGAAATTTTTACAAAAAATTCACCACTAGAAATTTGGCCATTTCGGTCAAACAATTTTTTTGACCAAAAAAATAATTAATTCGGACAAATTCATTGGCCGAAAATTAAAATTGACCGAAAATAATGGAAAAAAGCATACAATTCGGCCCCATTTTATTTCGGTCAAGCATCTTGACTGAATTAATTTGGCGCCGATTGGTGTTGAACCAAATTAGTCAAGTGTCTTGACCGAATGTTGCCTACCCATTCATTTGGTCAAGAAAACTGATCGAACAAAAATAAAAAAAAATATTTACACTTTTTTTAGAATTAAATATTAATAAATAAAATAAAATATTATTATTTCGGTCATGAATATTGACTGAAATAAAAATATGAACCGATTTTGACGATGGTTCTAAAATTGCAAAGATGTTTCGGTCAGCATGGCTGACCGAAACAGTAGTTGAAAATCTGCTCTACAGATTGCCTCCATGCAGATTTCCTCAAGTTGACCAAAACAAAAATTGGAAACAAAAAAATGGAAATGCATGGAAATTTGCAAAGCCTATTTCCAATTCTTTTAAAATTTTAATTTAGAAAAATTTTAAAAAATTTGTGATTAGTAATTGGTAAATTATAATTAGTTGATTAATTGATTGATTAGAGAGAAATGTGATTAAATTGTGTAACTCAATTTTACAATTATAATTATAGTGAGTAATTTACTGATTAGTAAATTGTAATTATATTTTTTAATTAATTAATAAATTGTGAGTATGGTGATTAATTAGTAAATTGTGATTATATTCTTTAATTGATCCAAAAAATATAATTATACT